AAAGCATTTTATTGGCATCAAAAAGCTGCAAAAAATAATTATGTTAATGTAATGTTTAATTTAGCTTTAAGCTATAATAATGGCATAGGAACAGATATAAATTTAGAAAAAGCATTTTATTGGCATCAAAAAGCTGCAAAAAATAATTATGTTAATGTAATGTTTAATTTAGCTTTAAGCTATAATAATGGCATAGGAACAGATATAAATTTAGAAAAAGCATTTTATTGGCATCAAAAAGCTGCAAAAAATAATTATGTTAATGTAATGTTTAATTTAGCTTTAAGCTATAAATATGGTGAAGGAACAGATGTAAATTTAGAAAAAGCATTTTATTGGTTTCAAAAAGCTGCAGAAAATGAAGATACTAAAGAAATGTATAATTTAATTTTAAGTTATAAAAATGGTGAAGGAACAGATGTAAATTTAGAAATGGTATTTTATTGGTTTCAAAAAATTCTAAAAAATAAATATATATTAAAAGATCCTTATGAACAAATTAAAATTAATAAAATTTTATTAATAAAAGGGTTTATGATTGAATCTGAAAATGAAGTTTATAATACATGCAAAAATTGTTTTAAAAAATAGAAGATCTTTAAAATGGATAGTACAAATTGTATTATTTGTTTTCAATCTGAATTATTATTTAAACCAAGTGAAAATATAGTTGTTGATGAATTTATTAAAAATAAACAAATTAATTTTATGCAAGAATTTATTTCTTATAATCAATTTCAAAATATAAAAAGTATTGGTGAAGGAAGATTTAGTAAAGTTTATAAAGCTATTTGGAATATAGATCTACTTTATTGGAATGAAGAAAAAGAAAATTTTGAGTATAATGATTTTAATATAACAGTTTCTTTAAAACAACTTAATAATTCTAAAATTATTACTCACAAGGAATTAAATAAGGTAACTTTAATATGAATAAATTTAGTATTACAATATTTATTGTTATTATGCATTAAAATAAATTTTTTATAAATTTAGCTTTTTATAATTTATACTATTGATTTAAATAAAGGATATTTCAGTTCTTTATTTTATTTAAATAGATATTATGGAAATACTCAAAATTCATATACAAAAGATTATGTTATAATTATGAAATATTACAAGTATGATTTAAAACGCTATACTGTATAAAACTTTTACAATCTTGAATGGAATAAAAAATTAGGCATTCTAAAGCAAATTGTAAACGGACTTACACATATTCATTATCAAAATATTATTCATCGAGATTTTCATAGTGGAAATATTCTTTGTGAAAATGATTATGATATTATAATAAGTGATTTGGGAATTAGTAAATCAGCTGAATCATCAGATGATATTGAGTGTTATGGGAATTTGCCTTATATTGCTCCAGAGATTTTTCAAGGACAAAACTATAATAAATATACTAAAGCTTCAGATATATATAGTCTTGGTATGATTATGTGGGAATTAATGACTGGTAGAACACCTTTTTGGGATCAAGCCTATGATACAGAATCAGAATTTATTATTCGAATTATTAATGGTGATCGTCCTCCAATTGTTACAAATGCACCTGTTGGTTAGAAAGGATGGTGCTAAAAAGATTTACTAAAACACAATTTAGAGGATTTAGGATATTGAATTAATACAACAATGTTGGGATTCGGATCCAAATAAAAGACCAACAGCTTTTAATACTTGTCATATTATTGATGAAATCATTTTGAAAGAAGTAAAGTCGCCAACAAAATTGATAATATCACCAGATATTGGACCTTTCATAAAAAATGATTTAGACAGTACTATATATAAAAATGGGGCAATTATCTCTTTAAATTCTAAAGAACATTCGAAGAGTCAAATAATTATAGGTAAATAGTATATAATAAATCGTCATCATATTAAGTAATTGAATTATGAAGAATCTATTAATTTATATTTATTACTAACTAAATGATATCAAGTAAACAACAGTTTTGAATTTAACGACAAACTAATTAATTATTTAGATGTGATAGATTATATTTCTAAAACTATTGATTTTGATATTTAATAATAAGAACTTATTATCTATCGATAAAGTCATGTTTTAATTTATATACAAGTACATTTTAGATATAAGTTCACGATTTAAAGAAAAGTTTGAGAAGCTAGTACATTCAAAATAAATAAACTTAGCTTCAAGAAAAAATCAAGTTCCAAGAATCAATTATTATTTATGAATAATGTTAATATAAACATAACAATTCAGGCGGCTTTCTAAGATATTTAAAATGACAAACTTTTTGTTGCGGTTAAAAATAATTAGCTTACCATCTATACAAATTCCTTCTAAGATATTCAATGAACAAAACACATAACTCCTTAACTACGGAATGATCTGATGACTTCCTTACCTAATTCGCTAATATAAATATTTTAAATGTTTTATTTTTTTATAACTTTTTAATGTAATAAACATTCAAATTTATTTTAGAAAAAAATTCGCGGTGCGCATAAGTTATTAGAAAATTAAATATTGCATAAAAATCAGAAATTTACAATTCATTATTGTAACTTCGTTTATTTTTTAATCCCGATTTTCTTATTATTTATGATTCAATTTTTCGTAGTTACGTAGTTTTTAAGTAAAGTTTTATTGTTTGATATTTATTTAGTTTAATATATTGACATTGCGAAAGTGTAGAGCGTCAGCGTTGAGGCAACACTGATTAATTGATATTATTAAATAAATATAGCGTCATTTTACTCATTATTAACTCAATGAAATCCTTCTGCTTACATTACAAATTGTTTATAAATACAAAAACGAAAGAACTGAATACAACAATAGCGCTGGTGAAAAATTTTGGTATCTTTTATTGAGTTTTTGTAATTAAACTATCTCAATTTGTAATAATCGCTTGTATAGTAAGATGATGAATGATTTTGAATGTTACGATAAGAATATAAAACTTAGCATTATTTTTTTTAAAAAATTTCATGAAGCATTATCTGGTGTAGGTATATGGATACCTTTCAAGCAATATTTTGAATTTTTGTATCAAATCATCAGCACTAGGTCATTTGTTTGGATCAATCTCCGAACAACTTTTCATTATCAGAATTGTTATTATTGGTCTTAGACCTTGACAAATCTCTATAGATAATTGAAAATCATTAAAAGCGGGAACGCCTGATGTGAATCCCAGATAAAGAATATATTTGGTATATGGCTTGTCAAGCAAAACCTCTAAGGAATTACTCCAAAGATTGTATCAGGATTATTCGAGTGATCAGGTGATCTGCTCAATCCCAAATCACATAAACACGATTTTGATCTTGCAAAATACGGTTTCCGCTTATGAAAATCCTCATGAAATAAATTACATCCATGCAAAGCGGATAGTGGCGTTGCAATGTGAAGTAAATTCCCATATTTCTCGCTCGGATTATTTTTTTTTATCATGAGGTTAGTTCTTATGCTATCAACTTTCATTTCTTTTAATACGATTATAGTATTCAACGTTGTAGGATCTTGAGTTATTCAGAAAGATCCATTATGTTTTCTAACTGAATACATGAATTATAAATATGTTTTCCACTACATTTAACAATAATAATAAGAAATCGTAAATTGAAAATCTTACTTCGTTCAAAAATCTTGTTGAATATTTGAAGTATCGTTTAAACTTTTGAGAGCTACATAAATTTCAGAATTTCATCATCCTTAATGACCCCCTTTTTCCGCGTTCTTATGATCTTTCTTGATAAGCTTTTCAAGGACTTTTACCATCTTTGTTTTTCTTTTTTTCTTATACTTCCAAATTTGTCCATCCAACCAAATAGATTTATAAATGATACCGAATCACCCCCCTAGCGAGATATTTTATATATCTTAAAGGATCCATTCAAATAATTGAAATTCATTTCTTGCGTTTCCTGGATAAATTTATCAATATGTTCATTTCCACTCGTCCAATTACTGTAATATTTTAGAATTGAAGTTACGACACCACCATGTTTTTGATTGATCGCAATCTCATCAAATTAGTTGGAAATCATAATTTAAAATTTTTTTAAGTTGGTAATTTATTTTACGTTATCGCTTCATATAAAATGCGGCTTACGCCGCCGAATTTGTTCTCTTTAGTATTTTTAGTTATTTCTTTCTAATTTTTTTTCTTAAAAACCAAAATTGAACAATAATAGGTTTAAAACAATTGAGAGTTTAATTACAATAATTAATATATAAAGTCGATGATAAATGTTGGGAATGTTGAATTTTAACAAGGAATGGCGTTATATACAGAATTATAAAACATTTTGCAATAAATGTAGCATGTAAGAGCTTGCTTTTTTATAAGAGCGTTTATACATACATATGAGATAAAATTTGTTCTTCAAAAATAAATAAATAGTCGAGGACTAAATGAAAGAAATAAATATAGAAAACAAACCTTAAAAAAACCTTAAAGTTTTAAATCAGACGAAGAATATCAATTGCTAATCTCCTTTTATTGAGTGAAATAGGAAGTAAGGATTTAGATAATATATCATTAGCTCCATAATTATAAGACCGAAGACAAGACTTTCAGAGCTTAAATTTCAATTAATAAATAAAAAAGGAAATTATTTATTTAATGTTCTTAATAAAAATTTAGAAAGATAGCAAAAAAACCCAAGCCTATGAAAAAGCGTTTTATGTTTAAAAAAAGAAAGATTAGGATTCGAGAAATAGCCAGTGACAGCAAGAAATTATTAGTTTATAGAAAAGATTAAAAAAAAACCATTGAAGACAAGATCTAAATATTATTTATGACAGTTCAGGAGGATTGCAAAGATATCAAAATTAACAAATCTCATTTGTAATGTAATAGCTAATAATGTCTCAGATAATGTGCTTAGCTTACCAACTTTTCATCCCTATAAAAAAGGTGGACAAAAAAAGATATGCGAATGTTCCAAAACGTGATCGTCTCCAAAATATGCTTTTTGTAGATCACATAACAATGACCAAAATTAAAAAGCATTTCATAGATAGTATTTTTGACTAACTGCAAGTTTTACGTTGAATTACTTGAATGTCAATTTTATGATACTTACATTTTTTATATGACAAATTAGTTAAATGATATCCCAAATGCGAAGATCGTCGGATATGTGTTTGTCCCAAATGCGCATTTCGGGCATCAACGCATTTGGGCTACAACATACCCAGTTAACAAAAGACTTTCTGATCGACCTGTTGACTGACCGATAACTAATTAGCAAATAAAGAATGATTTGTATTTGAATCATTTTAATATTAAATTCGCGATGATACTGCACCAATATAATATGTACGGTAAAACTTACAAGTAATGCCATAGTTAAAATAAAAAAAATCTTATTTGACTCAATAAAATTTCAATCACACGATAAGTTAAATCAGGCGTTCATAATTTTCCGGACAAAACTCGGAGGTTTCGGCAGGCATCTTCGAAACCTGTCGTCAAAACACATCGAAATCCCGAATCCCGTTTTGGCAAAAGTCGAAACCTTCAATTTCGATAGATTTGTCCCACACCCTAGTCATTTGATCGACCTTATATCTCTAAACCTATAAAGTAATTAATTAAGCGTAAATTAAATTACTTAGAAAGCTTCCTCCAACCAAAAGTAAAAAATTAGACACTTTAGTTACCATATCGCAAAAAACTAAATTATTCTGATTTTTACACTAGTTTTGAGTTAAATTAGTTAATCAAATTTTATGCATACTGCTATTATCATTTTTTTTTTTTATTTATTTCAACAATTCAATAAACTTCAACTTTAGGACTATCATAATGACATCGTGTTGCAAAAGAAAAATAAATTCAAAATTTTTATTCACAATTAAAAATACATTTCAAAAAGTATTTGCATAAAAATGAAAATTTAATTGACGATGTACTAACAGTAATTACTTAGCAATTCAATATTGCTAATTAATCTAATTTTACGCGAACTTTTAATTTTCTCAGTCTGGGGCATTTACTCCAATGCAGAGTAAATCTATAATAAACGTTATTTACATAAATTATTGGTCTAACTTCTCCTTATCTTTTTATTTGAAGCAATAATGATTTTTGTGTTGACAACTCTCGTAGCAGAATCAGGTTCTTCTCTTATCATTTTTATGACACTAGTCCTAATTCAAAAAAAAACCGTTGGTCAGGGTCGCGTTTTTGTTTGACCCGAGTCGACCGATCTGAACAATACTGACGGGCTAGACTTTAATTTGTAACAAATAAATAATAAGTAGTCCTATCGACGTTACCGATAGTACTAACTTCTTCTAGAAACGAAAGGCATTGCGGAGTGAACAATTACAGGCAGGTAAATAAAAATTATCGATTTTAAACATTAACTAAATCATTTTATTATAAAGCAACATGTGTTCCAGTAGAACGAGATATTTCTGGCGGAACCTATCTGATATTAACCAAAAGGTGTGGTTTTAAAACTAATACAATTCGTTGTATGAGCTTGAAATTCTGGTGGATAAAGATGTAAAAAAAAAAAAAAAAAAAAAAAAAAAAAAGAATTAGGATTAATGCTCACAAAAAAAAAAAAAATAATAAATAAAATAACACTTTTTTATTTACGGCATTAATATAAAATATTTATAAGCGAAAAAAATCTGAAAAGCTTGTTACCGTTTTGCTTAACCTAATATGTAGAAGTTTATTGATTTCTACTTTTTTTGGAATTTAACAAACAAATTCAATTTACAGATTTTTTTTTTTTTAAAATGACATTCTGCGGGTGACTCAGGCGCAGCGATCGATGATTTTTAAAAATCTTGCGCCCTTGCTTTTTCTTTAGATTCCTCTCCGAAATCAGATGGTTTCTGTTAGAATAAATGTTTTCTTGTTTTATTTTTATGTTACTCCAAAATTATTTTATACTTTATTAATTAACTGTATATAAAAGGAAAATTTTTGAAATAAATAAAAACTAAAAAATAAGTAAATTACTTTGAAATTATCTTGAAAATTCTTGAAAATAAAGAATTATTTTTTTTTTTTTGTTCATTTGTTTATAAAAAAAAAATATTAAAAATATATAAATTTAAAAAGAAATAAAATAAATGTAATGATTTGTAGGCAGCGCCGAATCGGGCAAGTATTTTAAAAATAAAACTTGAATTTTTAGGCGTGTCAAGGCTCAGCGTCGAATCGGGTAAGTATTTAAATTTTTTTTTCTATATATTAAACAAACTAGCATAAAGATATCCTTGAGATTTCGAGCCAAAACAATAATCGGGTCGAGTCGAATCCGGGTTCTGTAATTATTAACGGGTTCGAGTTCGAGTATTCCTTAAACCCGACCCTTACGGAGCACTAGTCAGATTTAAGTGATTGTTTGCTGACTTAGTTTCGGTTCTATTCCAGGTTAACACCGGCTTAATTTAATTATCCAAAACAGATTTCACCATTTTAGATCGATTAAAATATGCATCGAAAGGTATTATGCGAAATTTTTTTTTTTTTGTAAATTCAATTATTAGTTTTTTATGACGAAAATAGTTTAAAAATAATAATAATAAAAGAAGACTTGAGATAAAAATTAAAAAATTAAAATTTAGCAAAAATATCCTATTATTAAACATAAAAAGCTATAATTGATTATCAAATGATTCATATATCGTGTAACATTAAAAAGTTCCTGTTCCGCCTACAAATTTCCCATTTAAATATATAAATAGTTCTCAGAAAGTACTTTGGATTATTCTAAGAAACTTTTTAAATGGGGCACGAACCACATATCTGGTGTTTCATAATCGTATTTGTAATGCAGCGTGTGCTTCCTTATAATCTACAGTATATCACATTTGATAGAATTCCATACAGGTTTAACTTTTACAATTTATAGTGACCTTTAGACTTATAGCAGTTTGCATCAAGTATATTATATGGATTCATTTTTTGTGCTAGTGCGGAGAAAAAAAAATATGATTTAATTGCACAGCAGATCAGAATAGGCTAATTTAACTATTTTAAACAATTACACGATTATAGTAATTACTGTACCGTTTCTTTTTCTTCCTTTTCTCATGCGTTTTTTATTCATTTATGTACAAGATGTACCCTGTTACTCTCAGTTATTAATGAACTAGATAAAACTTAAAAATTATTTTGAATATCTTTAATTGACTAGAAAATCTTTATTTAAAAGCTGCTGCAATAAACTTGGATTAGTTTGGTTTACTGTAATATAAATAACTTCTGTTCCTCATTTTTTACTAATTAATACGGGGACTTTGAAAATTTTATCGTTAAAATCATATTTGTCAAGCGCAAATTAATATCGCCAGTTATAATTATACTTCAATCTTGTTGAATTTTTGAAACTTTATTATTATCATAATAAATAAACAAGAAACTTTCTGTTTAATAATTAATTTACAAAATGCGATTCGATTATAAATAATTAAATTAAAATTTAATAAATAAAATAAATTATAAAAAACTAAGAATTCAGATCATAATGAAATTTGTTTGTCAACATATATCAATAGGACCTGGAAAACTATATAGTATTATGTTCTTTGGTTCTTTGTCTTACCAATCATGGACCTCGATTATAAATATAGCAATCATCATCAGCACAATCGTTGCGTTTCATAACTACCAATTATAATAATAGTGATATAAAAGTTATAAATAAAAATATTTGATTTCAAATATTTTACCTTGATCACGGATAGGTGATGCGGAAACTGTCAGACCATAGGCGATACAAATAAGAACGATAAGCCAAAAGTTA